AAAAAATGCCCGCCTTTCTTAGTAATTGGTATAATTATTAGTCATTTTGGGATACATTATAAAACAACTTAATTTTGTAAGAAATAAAAAAATTAAGAAAAAACTGATTTTTTTTAAAACTCCTATTTTTTATACATCATTCACTCTGTATAGTGTTTGTTTTATTGCCACTATTTTCACAACGATAATCATCGTTTTTATAATGCCTTTTCTTTCTGTCCAGTATAAATTACAGACATTGCAATAATACTAAAAAGTCAAAAGGGTTAACGATGAAATTGATAATCGTTAAATGTTAATTAACAGATTTTATTAATAAATCCCTGCAATATGCAACATTCTTTTGTATACATATAATATAATTATAATTTAATCAAGACCTAGTTTTGTTATCCCTTAGAGACAAATATTTGTATCATATCCATGTTTTTAATACGCATAATCGTATCTATATCGTGTGTTGCATCGGAACAAGGGACATAGGAAATCTCATGTAAATTTTGAAAAGGCCAAATATTATCTCCCCAGATAATTTTATGCTTGAATCCCCAGATAATTTAAAGTTGTATTAGACTTTTTTGAAGAGGCGTTGAAGTTGTACTTTTGTCTATAATTTCGTTTCATTTGGAATAGGCATTTAAAAGTTAGCTGCAAAAATATATCTTCAAATTAGTAAAATTTATTATATGGCCCAGAGAAAGCCACAATTAAAATACCTAAATAATTAGTAAAAATAATAAATAACAAAATTATATAAGAGTTTCTTGCCTTGAACTGCTAATATAGAAATTAATTCCACGCTGTGTTGGTCATAATGTGGATCAACCTGCTCTCACTACCGGTATAAAAAACCTCAAAACCGGGCCCTACCCCATCATCAGGTGAGCTTGGGTATTTCCACAAAATGACGACCACAGCGCAGAGTATATAAATACGACTTGTCGTAAAGTAGCGGTAAGATAGCAGCTTTGTTCGGGTTCTTGTTATTACCGATTCTGAACCGTCCTAGAACTTGGCGGCGCATGCGCAAATGAAATAATGTCTTCATATTTCCTTCTGCGCATACGCATCACACTAGGACGGTTCAGAATCGGTAATAAGAGAAACCCTAAATAAGCTATTAAGTCCCGCATCGCGAGATAGCGGCCTGCGTGCAATGGTAGTACTTTCGTACCACCGAGGCACAACTATCGATAGGAAATAAAGGCTTTTTTCGGCTAGCCCAAATTATATATTGGAAAATAAATTTCTTGCAGTTTTTAGGTATATAATAAAATTATATAAGAGTTTCTTGTCTTGAACTGCTAATATAGAAATTAATTCCACGCTGTCTTCGTCATAATGTGGACCAACCTGCTCTCACTACTGGTTTCGGGGCCCTACCCCATCATCAGGTGAGCTTGGGTTTTTCCACAAAATTTTTTTTTTATTTTTTATTATATACCTAAAAACTCCAAGAAATTTATTTTCCATTATATAATTTGGGCTAGCCGAAAAAAGCCTTTATTTACTATCGATAGCTGTGCCTCGGTGGTACGAAAGTACTACCATTGCACGCAGGCCGCTATCTCGCGATGCGGGACTTAATATCTTACCGCTACTTTACAAGTCGTATTTATATACTCTGCGCTGTGGTCGTCATTTTGTGGAAATACCCAAGCTCACCTGATGATGGGGTAGGGCCCCGAAACCGGTAGTGAGAGCAGGTTGATCCACATTATGACGAACACAGCGTGGAATTACTTATATTAGCAGTTCAAGGGCAAGAAACTCTTATATAATTTTATTATACCTAAAACTGCAAAAATTTATTTTTCCATTATATAATTTGGGCTAGCCGAAAAAAGCCTTTATTTACTATCGATAGCGCTGTGCCTCGGTGGTACGAAAGTACTACCATTGCACGCAGTAGGCCGCTATCTCGCGATGCGGGACTTAATATCTTACCGCTACTTTACGACAAGTCGTATATATATACTCTGCGCTGTGCTCGTCGTTTTGTGGAAATACCCAAGCTCACCTGATGATGGGGTAGGGCCCCGAAACCGGTAGTGAGAGCAGGTTGATCCACATTATGACGAACACAGTGTGGAATTAATTTCTATATTAGCAGTTCAAGGCATGAAACTCTTATATAATTTTATTATATACCTAAAAACTGCAAGAAATTTATTTTCCATTATATATTTTGGGCTAGCCGAAAAAAGCCTTTATTTACTATCGATAGTTGTGCCTCGGTGGTACGAAAGTACTACCATTGCACACGGGCCGCTATCTCGCGATGCGGGACTTAATATCTTACCGCTACTTTACGACAAGTCGTATATATATACTCTGCGCTGTGCTCGTCGTTTTGTGGAAATACCCAAGCTCACCTGATGATGGGGTAGGGCCCCGAAACCGGTAGTGAGAGCAGGTTGATCCACATTATGACGAACACAGTGTGGATTAATTTCTATATTAGCAGTTCAAGGCAAGAAACTCTTATATAATTTTATTATATACCTAAAAACAGCAAGAAATTTATTTTCCATTATATAATTTGGGCTAGCCGAAAAAAGCCTTTATTTACTATCGATAGTTGTGCCTCGGTGGTACGAAAGTACTACCATTGCACGCAGGTCGCTATCTCGCGATGCGGGACTTAATATCTTACCGCTACTTTACAAGTCGTATTTATATACTCTGCGCTGTGGTCGTCATTTTGTGGAAATACCCAAGCTCACCTGATGATGGGGTAGGGCCCCGAAACCGGTAGTGAGAGCAGGTTGATCCACATTATGACCAACACAGCGTGGAATTAATTTCTATATTAGCAGTTCAAGGCAAGAAACTCTTATATAATTTTATTATATACCTAAAAACTGCAAGAAATTTATTTTCCATTATATAATAAATAACTAGTAATAACTAATAAAGTGACAGTAGAAAAATTAAGTGTCTTAATGAACTTATTTGAGAACTCATAATATAAGTAATTTCAACTCTGTATAAAGTTGCAATCAGAATGTGGATATCGTAGCCTATTTAATTGTGGTTATTTATAATCAAACTATAGTTATGTTACATGCAAAAAATATATACAATGCGTTTGTTAAGTATGGTAAAACTTTAGAAAAGTTTTACATTGTGTTTCATTCCTCAAAGTAATAAAAAATACTTTTCCAATAAAAATGTATGTTAAAATTTTATATAAAAAAATAATGAATATTATATCTTGATCTCATATATCTTACCTTACTTAGAAAACATCCTGTATATTGAATAGGTTATTAAATATGGCTTTAGTAAGAAGTAAATTTTAGTATATTTTGTTATACAGTATGTCCTCGGATTGTCTTTACAAGAGGAAATATTTTTTAGTAATAGAGAACAACGGTATACGGTCGAGTCGGCCGCTGCCTACTCGTATACGTAGATGTAAAGAATCTTTTACATGTATAAAAAATAAAAAATATCAGAAATGCGCATGCGTACGTAAACGTTTACGTGTTTGTAGGCCGACTCGACCGTATGCCGTTGTTCTCTATTGACATTTTGAGAAAAATGCACTCTTCATGAAATTTTTTGCTTGTTCTATACTAGTTCATCCCGTTTATATTTCTCCAAATTTTCATCGAGTTTTAGAGAAAATTAAAAAAAAACATGAAAATATAATTTATTTGTTTCTAAGTAAAAATCAAAAAGCGTTTCTAATGTAATATAATGTCGTTATTATTCTTTGATAGATTGTTATTGATAGAATTTCACTTAACGTCATATTTTTTTGATGTTTTAAAATGTTAAAGCACAACATTTATTTAGTTCAATGCTACGGAAAGGGTGATAATAGTTATCGGGAAATGCGATACTTTAACAAGCGCAAAAAATATGACGTTAATTAAAATTGATAATTACCAAATAATATCCATCTATCAAAGAATGAAATCAAAATTAACTTACCATAGAAACGCCTTTTGTTTTTTAGAATATTTTTGAGACTTAAAAAAAATTAACCAAAGTTTCACATTTTTTAAATTTTCTCTAAAACGGTATGGAAATTTGGAAAAGCATAAACGAGATTAACCATTTTAGAAAGAGCAAAAATTTTAATGTACAATGCATTTTTGTCAAAATGTCAATAATAAAAAAGTTTTTCCTCTTGTAAAGACAATCCAGGGACATACTGTATACCAGATGCGTCTCAAAAGTGGCTCACCCCTATAACTTTTTTATTTTTTCAGATAAAACAACGAGATTTGGTATGTTAGAATATTAAATAAATTGGGATTGATTGACATATTCAATTGTTTTCTGTCACTTCCGGTTTCACCGGAAATGATTACAACTTTTGATTTTTAAATGGCACCCTCGATATTTTTTTACTTTATTCGATAGAAAATGAGACGCTGAATAGAATGACATATCATATGTCAACTTTTGACACGAGTTTTGACATTTTCGCATATGGTTTATTTGAACTTGTAACATGAGGTTTATAACGACAATTTGACTCGCAATACCAAGTGTGTGGTATCAAATTATTCAAAGATTTGGGCATCTTTTAACCGGCCAAGACAAGACATTAAAAACATTAAGCGATCAAATCTATTTTTCCAAGGCTCCTTGATTAAAAATTAATGTTTTTAACACAGTCATGGCACTCTAGATTGAAATTTAAAATACAATTTGTTTTTGAGCGAAAATGTCAAAAGTTGACATATGATATGTCATTTGATTCAGATTGTCATTTTCAATCGAATAAAGTAAAAAAATACAGAGGGTGCAATTTATAAATCAAAAGTTGTAATCATTTTCGGTGAAACAGGAAGTGACCGAAACCAATTGAATACGTCAATCAATCCCAATTTATGTCATATACTTACAACGTACCAAATCTCGTTTTTTAATTTGAAAAAACAAAAAAGTTATAGGGGTGAGTCACTTTTGAGACGCACCCGGTATATGAAAAATTGTTCTTTAATGGAAGATATTTTATTGCACACACGTATAATATTTACGAATTATTCGATTCATTGACTGAATTATTCCTTCCCCGAAACTGATCAGTGGTTGAATTAATCTCAGGTGGTGAGAAATACGAAACCAAATTCCCCAAAAATATAGGCTGATTAATTCTGGTAACAAGGAAATAATTTTTAATCCAAGTAATTTTAGTTATTTTTTTTAGTACTTACCTTATAGCTTCTGATAGAAATAAAACGAAACCATAGAATAGAAACTCCCATTTAAAAACTTTGAATAAAACTCTTAATAATGAAGGTTTTGAGTTTTTCTTTAGAGCTCTACATTCCTCTTCTTTCCAGTATTTTTCCATAACATTGCCCAATTGCGAGGATTTGTGTTCGGATAGAGTTTCTGTGAGATCGTTCTCTTCCAGATCATGTTTGAAACCGTTTACAAAAGTTGGTATGGTATAACTGCAAGAGAAAACCAGCAATGAGAATGTAACTTGTAGAGGTAAATTTAACCCCTAGGGAGGTCAAAGATATCAAAAAAGTTTTATTAAAAACTTGCAGTCTACCATAAAAGATGCAAAACAAACCAAATTAATGAATAAGCTAGAAATGGGTAGATCCGGAGTTGTAAAAGAATCGGGTCCAGAGTCACATCAAGCTTCATGGAACTTCACATCCAGATTACAGTTCTGTCGGATTTATTTTATTCTAACTTTTAATTTTAATTTAACTAAATTTTGTTTTGCATGAAGCGATCCGGGTTCAACATTTTTTAGTACTTTAGGAAAATCTGATTTTTGCGTTTTGCCAAATCCTTGTCTCCTGATCTTAGTTGTTCTATTTATTTGATAGAGGTACCTTAACGTTCATATTTATGACTATGAGGCAAATCATTACGAGTTTTAGATACTAATAAAACATAATTGAGACACAATTACAGCCTTCCATCAAAACTTCCGCATAGGTATTGCTTCATTCTAGATCAAAACGATCGGCATTCAACACAACATTTTTAAGAAATAAAATCATCTAATAAGCTAAAAAAGCATCTTTTTTCCAGAGACAGAATGACAATACATATTCTTTTATTTACAACACGATATCGTTATATACATTATAAATTCTAACGGGTATATAAATTGGGCTCATCTAACAATATTAAATTAACTAAGTTATAATTAACATTTCCTTTCTTTTTTATATGTTTTTCTATCTGGAATCGCCACTTCGTAAATGGGTTTAGCCTCCTCACCGACCCAAACACTTCCGTTTTCTCCTTCATTAAGCATGGTGTTCAATCCCTCAGCAAGCCACTCCACTGACTGAGGCTCCAGGGACCCCAGCTGTTGAGCCAGTGTCTTCCCTAAGTTGGGAAAGCCGTCAAACGCCCAATCTTCTGCGTCCGTTATCAAGGGAGTTATTGTTACTCCAGGACAAATTGTTAAAAATCTTACACCGGTTAGATCGTAAAAGTACTTGGTGCCTATGGATCTGGTAAAGCCAATAACGAAATGTTTGGTACCTGTGTACACTGGACAGCCAGTGAGAGGTTGTAGTCCTAGGATAGAAGCTGTGTTTACGATGGTTCCTCCGCAACCTCCGTTGTTCCTTCCCATGTACTGGATACCCAGCAAACTGCCTCTGACTGTTGCAGATATATTGATATCTAGCATTCGCTGCCAGGTTTTATCACGCAAAATGCCAGCGTTATTGATCACTAGATCAAGACGATCGAATTTCTTCATGTTGGTATCGAACAAGCCCTTGAAAGCTTCACAGTTCGTGACGTCGGCATTGATGAATATCGCTCTTCCTTTTCCGTAACAACAGTTTATTTCTTCTGCCAGGGCAGCACCTCGGTCGTCTATGTCGGAAATAGTTGCAGCTTTCATGCCTCTTTTGAATAGTTCTTTGACGTAGGCTGCTCCGATGCCAGTAGCTCCTCCAGTAATAAGAGCTACTTTACCCGCGATTATATCCATACTGGAAAATTTTGACCACGAAAAATTTTGTTGAAGAAACGGCCGAAAAATTGGGAAAAGATTGAAAGTTTGATTTTGGCGTATGAAGGAACTGTCAAGGTAATTTCAGTATTATTAACGGATTGTTTTATTTATCATACATAAATTGTTTGTTTTCATTGTTAAAGTCTTCAAAAAGTTAGAAATAATCGATATTCGAATGATGTTCGAAAAATTTGGTTTTTGTCAGAAATTTTTATATTATTACTGTTATTTTTCAACAAATTTCGAATAAAATTCTCTTTATAAACCCTGTTTTCCAATGACAATTTTTACAAGGCTTGATGAATGCAAATAAAATAAATTCAATGCCAACTTTTTTCTTATTAGAATTTCTTATCGCTAATAGAACAAGCTCTAATTTTCTGTCAATTTTTTCGTAAAGATGGTTGTGCCGACTGACCAAAAAATAATAAAAGGATAGCCAATTGATGTTTATTGTTGCTTATGCGGGTTCAAGTTGACCCTGCTAATTCCCTAATAATATCATGGTCCCATCTTATGTTTGGTCTTCTTCTAGGTCTCGTAATTCCTCGTGAGTACCATGATGTAATTTTTGTTGTCCATCTTTCTTGCCAGATGTCCTGACCATTGCAACTTGACGGTATACAAACAGTAATAGACATAAAATAGCAGATATATTAATAGGTATTCAATATTCAATTAAAAATCTGTGTGGTGATAGAATTCACAGAATATCATGATTTCAAAAAGAAATTCAGTTCGAATTCATGCAAACAAAAAAGGTCTAGTCCAGATTAGCCTTAGCATTTTTTTGTCATCTACGGCCTTAGCAGAAAACTACGACCTGAATACACCACTTTGAATTATTAATTTGTCAGTGCAAAACATGTTAAGTGAGTTGTGGGTTAAAAAGCATTGCTTCTCTCATATGTACATCCGAAATGTTTGCAGTTTTTATTTATCTTCCAAATGATTACTTAGTTATTACAGTACGCTTGCAAAAACTACAAAAAATTACTTTGTCTACTTACAGTAAAATTTAATAATATATTTTATGAAATGAATTAATTTTATTATGAAATTCATTAAATACACCTCAATCCCTCATCAACACCTCTCCTTTTTGAAAGTTTTTCTATCTGGAATCACTACTTCATAAATAGGCTCGTCGTTTTCTCCTACCCATATACTTCCATTTTCTCCTTCATTGAGCATCGTGTTCAATCCCTCAGCTATCCTTTCCACGGATTGAGGTATGACTGAGTTTACCTCACGAGCAAAGATTTTTGCCAAGTTAGGGAAACCGCCCAACACACTCTGCTCAATGTCTGGTACAATCTGAGTTTTCGTTAGTCCAGGACAAACGCTCAGAAATCGTATACCAGTCAAACGGTAAAAGAAGTCAGTACCCATGGACCTCGTAAAGCCAATGATGAAATGTTTGGTGCCTGTGTAAACAGGAGCCCCAACAAAAGGTTGGAGGCCTACGATCGAGGCTGTATTAACAATGGTACCGCCACATCCTCCGTGGTTCTTTCCCATGTATTGGATACCGAGCAAGCTGCCCGTAATCGTGCCCTTGATGTTGATATCTATCATCCTCTCCCAGGTTCTGTCTCGCATTATACCCGCGTTGTTTATTACTAAATCTAACTGATAAAATTTCTTCATGTTTGCTTCAAAACCGCCCTTAAAAGCTTCAAAGTTAGTGACATCTGCCTTGACAAACAATGCCTTATTATCTCCGTAACAACTGTTCATTTCATCTGCCAGGTCTTTACCATTGTCATGTATATCTAAAAGAGTTGCTGCTTTCATGCCTCTCTTGAATAATTCTTTAACATATGCTGCTCCGATGCCAGTAGCCCCACCAGTAATGAGGGCTACTTTACCCGTTATATTATCCATGCTAGGAAATTTTGATCAGAAAAAAATGTGTTGTAAAGAAGAACAAGGGATTGGTACATTTCAAACTTTGACTTTGGCGTATGAAAGAACTGTCAAAGTTTATCCCAAATTTAAATGAAGTGTGGGTGTGGGTTAAAAAACTAAAGATTCTGTTATCAATGTCGGAAATACTCGTAGAACTCAGGTTCGAACATAGATAAATGAAAAAGTTTAGATTGGAAAGTGTCCATAAGGCCCATGAGGACAATGTAAACACTATTTGGCGCTATTCTTGCAACGGTCGCGACCCAAAGCTTTTGAAAGTTTCGGAGAGGTTCGGCTTTTTTGGAATTATATCGCCAAATATTATATATTCAAATTTATTATTATTTTCTTTTAATTTTATAAATAAAATGCATACAAGAAACTTTATATGTATGAAATACCTATGAAACATTGGAAACCGACGTTATGCCACGATCCACGATGGTTTTTACAGTTCACAGTTCACAGCACAGCTTTTTAAGTTTTTAATGCCACTTTTTTACAATTATCACGGGTTTGAGTAAATAAAACTTACATTAAACTCACAGGATAGCAATAATTACTTTGAAAATGGACGCCTTAAACACTTTTCGGAATTTTTTCAATGAGAGCGGTTTAGACTTTGAAAGATTTTATAATTTTTGAAGATTCTGACTTTGACAAGAGATACGGACAAGAAAAAATTATTTCTGTTTTTATTTGCGGTTATTCTCAGCAACCGCTACAGCAGCGCCAGATCGCGTACAACGGTCGCGACCCAAAATTTTGATGGGCATTCCAATCTAAATTTATTTCCTTTATACAGGAGCCATGACAACCTCTCCAACAGCAGCAATGGAGGTCATTCTAGATCTAACACCACTGCACATTGTCATTGGTAGGTATGCCAATGCGACAATGATTAGAATGGTCACTAACGGAATCAGTACTGGAAAAATTGTCAGATCAGGGGCTTGGAACACCCTCAGAAAGGAAATACCACTCCTGCAACTCCCAGTGGACGATATGCCAAGAACGTACAACTTTGAGAAACATCTCAATGTAGTATTGAGCAATAAAAATGATTGGAAGAGAGAAACGTCTGCCCAGCAGTTAAAAGACCATACCATAACTTGGTATACTGATGCTTCCAAAACCAATACGGGAACAGGGATTGGAGTATTTGGGCCGAGAACTAAATACTCCGAACCAATAGGCACTTACCCTAGCATCCTACAGGCAGAAATCTACGCTATCGAAAGATGCGTACAACTTATCTTAGATAGGAACTATCGGAAACAAGAAATAGCCATCTTATAGCTATATAGTTAGTCAAGCAGCGTTAAAAGCGATCAACTTAGTATCAATCAATTCGAAGTTGGCTAAAGAATGCATAGAGAAGCTGAATAAATTAGGCAAAGAAAACAAAGTCATCCTACTCTGGGTGCCTGCTCACCAAGGGATAGAAGGCAATGAAAAAGCAAATGATCTAGCTAGAAAAGGAGCGAACACTCCACTAACTGGACCAGAACTGTTCTGCTTTCCAAGTGATAACCAACTCAAGGCGGAACTCAAGAACTTAGAAGATTCCATCCGCAACCTGGAATGGGAATCTTGCAACGGTCTAAGACACTCGAAGAAGTTTCTGAGGGCCTACGATCAAGAAAAATCACAAATCTTCCTGGGTTTAAGTAAGAACAATCTTCGGATTGTCACGGGGTTTTTAACAGGACACTGTCTCCTCAATGAACACCTCAGTAGATTGAAACTAAGAAAAGACGGCGAATGCAGATTCTGTGGGGAAAATGGGGAGATACCAGTACACCTCATCACTGACTGTATGATGAGTTATAACTCATGAAAGGGGGACACAATAGATCTGTAAGGTCGCAGTGATTAACACCCCTTCCACTCATTCTAAATTCTAAAAAAAAATTCCTTTATCTATGCGTTCGAATGAACTGTCATAGTAACATCATTCTAAAAATGTGATTATTTTCGAATATTTAAAGCAAACACAAAATTAGTTCATAACCAAACCAAACACAAAATGAGTTATTTGCACCAACTAGATTATTAGCGTATAATAAGTATATTATTTTATGCGCCTACAGAGTTTGATGTGGTGACAATTAACATTTTCTGGAAGTCAGATTCGGAAAAATATTTTTTTCCTCAATGCACAGTGGCGTTTTTTCACAATAGACAAAAAATGTAGTAAATACTAGAAGGACCGTTATACGAACAAAAATCGGTCGTCAGTGAAGTTTGAAAATATTTATACAAAAATAAAGTGGGGGTGGGGGTAATTTTCACCCTTCTTGTATCTTTTCTCAATTTTTGTGGAAGTCAAAATATTAAAAAGCACTTAGCAAAACATAGGCACCCGTAATGTCACTCAAATCAAAATGAAAATTCTTAAAATATCTTAAAAAATCGGACAAACGAATCACTTTTGTACAGAAGTAAATTGTGTTCAATGAAACTATTTTGATTCCAATAATTCGTAGTAATTATACGTTGAAGGAATATTGGGACACCCTGTATATCGATTTCTGTTCACGAGATATTCAATCTCTTCTAGCTTCTAACTATGCTTCTGACCGACTTTAATATAAACAATAATATGCCACAAAAAAAATTACGCTCTTGTACAGAGTGTCCTACTAAGAATAGTTCTCGGCTGTATCTCGCAAAGTATTAGTCGTAAGGCTTGAGGAAAACAAATACCGTATGATCGAATAAAAACGGCGTCAACGATGTCTATGAAATGAAGATCGCTGTCATTTTATATGTAAATGTATATGGGCAATGTCATCGATGTTCATTTCATAGCCATCGCTGACGCCGTTTTTATTCGATCATACGGTATTTATAACTAAAGAGACTATGAGAAATTGCTGGAAATTATTTTGTAGAACAGCCCCTATAAAAAAAAGAAATTTTGCCTAGATACGATGTACTATAAATAATAGCTTCAATCTTCAGTAAATTTAGAATCTTTCTTGTTAGAACCAGTTTCCCCTATCTGCTAAAATAAAGTGGTGAAGCAAGTTTAGATCTCTTTTTATTTAAAAAAAAATATTATTATTATATCAACATTTTGATAGTCTCAGCAGCGTTTTTTTTATCTTTTGATGCTTTTTTAAAAATTCCTTTCTTTAAAAGAGAAAAAACGCTGCTAAAGTTATCAAAATGTAGATCTAATAATACTTTGACATTTATACTATTACGTCAAAAGCAACTTTTTTCCAAAGCCTACCATGACTTCACTGAGGCGTCGTTTCTTATTCACTCTCATTGATATCTTATATAATTATTAGATATTAATACCAGAGGGGTGACAGTGAAATAGGAAAATTGGAAACAGTCATTAGTGTCAATCCTGTCATCTCCTGACAACAAGTATGGCCGCCTAGACAAGGACAGCAATGTTTCTGTCTAACTATTGTCTAACTTCACAATTTAGAATTGACAGATTTCAGAGACAGCCCCTATAAAAAAGAAATTTGTTCTAGAACAAATTTCGACGCCATTTTAATTTTAATCTTCTCTCCGGTTAGAATCTTTTGTCTTGTAAATTCAATTTCATATTTCGGCATAAATTTATAAATATAAAGATAATAAAGCATGTAAAATATATTATTACATGAACAATCCTGGGGAGAAAAGACATTTCTGCAGTACTAGGTATGTCCCATGTATATTAAAAATAGGTAGTAAATAAACACTATTTCTGTATTTTTTTAGATGCAATAAAAATTTTACATTATACTATTATGATCGGCGTTATTTTGAAAATGGAAACAATTTACAGCATTGAGGTAAGATCATTTTTTAACTATAGCCAACATTAGTTATCTCCAGTATGTGCGATTTATTGTCAATTATGCAGTAAATCTGACTGATACAATCTGATTGTTATCCGACTAAAAGTCTCTTTTGCTTCTTTTTTTGATTTATAAACCAGGTCTCTTTGCGAATAATGGACGCTTTTTTTTAAACAGTATATTTATATTTTATACTTTTTATTGATATTTTACATTGTTAATTTTAGTATAAAAAAATGTTTTTCTGTTTTCAGGCTTTTTTGTATAAGGCTCCCGTTTTCATGTTCCTGCCCCCGTTTTCTGTCCCTGATGGCTGTGAATACGTATATTTATTTACAGATTACTGTAAGTAATGCTTATACCTTACTAATTTACGTTAAAATTGCATATAATTAAGTAATTGCTGTAGATATCATTCAATTCTTTATTTTTTATATTTATTTAGTCCCCGTTTTATATTTATTTTATCCCGTTGTCTCATATTTCAAATAAATATGTTTGAATAAAATTTTGTTGTTTTATTTATGATAAGAAAGAGTACAAAATACATTTAAACTGAAAGAGGGCGCGCCATTGAATAACCGGAAACGGAAATAAAAATGAAGCCATCATGTCAACCTGTCAATTGGAAAATTAGTTCTCCAGACGACAACGAAGGCTTTCGGTGGCGTATCGTGTTTCCACGATTTAACACAGAGTTGACACTTCTTTCTAGTTAATTATTTTATGATTAATACATCAGGCATTATGGTATTCTGGTATATTAATCGATTCTATGTTATTTTTTATTAGAATAGTCATGATCAAGGGGGCTATACTAGTTGAGGTGGTGCTGGTCAAATCAAATCGCAATGTTGCCAGTTGTTGGCTGGCGCACGAGCACGGTTCTGCAATGTGATTGGGCGTATTTTTCATACGTCATCAATTGGCGCTTTAAAATTATTTCAAATTAAAGCAATTTTGAGGGCCTATAAAAAATTATTCAATGTCATGGAACTATTTTTTTTGGATAAATATACTGAAAATAGTCTTCTATTTCAGATTTTGTCCTTGAATTGGGTATTTTATTTTTTGTGAAAGAGCCCATTCTTTAACATATGCTGCTCCGATGCCAGTAGCCCCACCAGTAATGAGGGCTACTTTACCCGTTATATTATCCATGCTAGGAAATTTTGATCAGAAAAAAATGTGTTGTAAAGAAGAACAAGGGATTGGTACTTTTTTAAGCTTTTATTACTCTTTACTATCAGCTAAAATTACATAATTTTTTTTGAAAAAAACGCGCATATTGTTTGTTAAGTTGCAAAACAGCGCCCCCTAGCGTCTACATTCAAAAAGTTATTATTATTGTTTATACTGTATAATATAGAGTAAGAAACGCTCTTTTAAAAGAGCCTCAGTGTGTTGGATTCCGTTAATCCAGTCCGGAGATATTAATATTTAAATAAAAACAGATCTAACCTTCCCCCACCGCTTTTTGGCAAATACTGGAAAATGGTTCTAACAAAAAATATTCTAAATTTACTGAAGATTTTCAAGCTATTATTTGTAGTACCCTTTATCTAGGCAAAATTGTGTAAAAACTCATTTTTTTATTTTTTATTATAGCAGTTGCGCCCCATGGTTATGCCCTCTAGCGGCCGTTCTACATACTTGAAAATAATTTCCAGCAATTTCTCACAGCCTCTTTAACAAATATTTTTTTCCGCACGCCCTACGTCTGATACTTTCCGAGACCCGAGATACAGCCCAGAGCTATTCTTAATGGGTCACCCTGTACACACGACCGATATTTTAATTGGTCACCCGTCCAAACGTTCCCCTTGTTTAATGTCGCTTAACTTCATTGATCGAGCGGATACCTACAGGTATACCTAACTAGCTAGAATATAATTCATAAACTTACCAAAAGGTTGCTGCAGATAGAGGGAAGGCATCTTCTCTTGGATTTGGCTTTCTAGTCTTCTTTATACTACCGTCCATTTTTATTTAAAAGATTCGAGACAAATTCCAAATACATGCGGAAAATCAAAATCTGGAACAATTTTTATTGTTAACAAACCGTTTATTTTTATTTGCAGTTTCTATCTAAAAGCCTTGCAATTTTTTAAAACTTATATATTTTTAACTGCCCACTATTTAATTCATTCAAGTCAATCCTGAATCTCATGTTATAAGAACTATTAATAAACTGAAAAATTTCGTTTGAAAAGTAGTGTATATTTAAGAAAAAACACTTGAAAATTGGGACCAAGTTAATAAAACAAACAAAAAATGCATGTTTTATTGTTGAATAACTATTTTTCTTTTGATAATACCAAAAAGATATCTTCCTATAATAGGTACCTAGTAGGTTTATTACAAAAGTTTCCTACATTTCTGTCGACATCTTTGTTTATCAATAAATTGCCAGTCAGCGTACCTGGATTATTGATTTATTTAATGCATTATTGAGCAATAAGCATAATTAATAAATTTTATTCTGTTTTTTTTATCTGAATAAATACTTATACCAATGTCTAGATGTATATATTTGAAGTTTCATAGTTTTACTATAAAGATATTGGTATTTGAATAAAAATTTTCCAAATTTCAGCAAATTATTTTTTAAATTTTGAAACTGTACTATCACACGCACGCATATAAGCCTTTTATGTATGAATAATTACTAAAATTTTGAATTAAAAATATTATATTATATTAATAACAATTTAAAAAAATATACATTAATGAAATGTAGCAATTTACAGACAAAACAAACAAAAAATAAAACTTACCTTCCAGTTTTATTTTTTATCCAAAAAATCAAAAAATTTACCGGCATTTAATTTTATAACCTAAATTTGTCATTTAATAAAATAAAAATAGACGTATTATAACACGAACGTTGTCCTATTTTTAGGGCTTCATTTATTTTTAAAAAAATCGGAAATTTCATTAAAAAATAAGCACATCTATAAAGACGGTTCACGGTCAAACTAGGTATTTTTCCCCGGTTCTCTGGCTTCAGTTGAACATTTTGAGTTTTGCTGTTTTTTTCACATGCGCAAAAGTAGCCGCTATCCATTCACTTTAGCCACTTTAGCTCACGCATTTATTGAACTTTCTTCCGTACGATGTATTTGCTTTGCTTAATAATTTTCAGCTGTACAATATCCTATAAATAACATATTGATCGTATGAAAGTATAGTATAAATTTAATTTGCCCTTCAAAATTCAAATTCAATTCTGAATTTAATAACAGACACCAACGGTATGCAACCAATAATACATTATTTATTTCTTGTTTTAAAAAGTAAATATTACATCATTTTTGAATATATTTTGGATGAAATAATTCTTATTTATTAAGTAAAAGAAAATAAACAAATAAAATTGCTTTAAACATAGCCTAAACAATAAAATTTTATTTTAATCATATATAATTTTAATAGGGAATAGAAAATAATATATGTTGGCACGACTGATAAAAATTGTCAAATTTGTTTAAGAATTTTCCAACCTCAAAAAATCAATTTGCGGTTTTTTGGAAATTAGTTTACCTCGTTTACGATTCTTGCAGTGAAAATTAAACAAACATGGCTTTAAATAAACCAAAATCAGAAATGTCTGCTGAAGAATTGCAGGCAAGAGAAGAAGAAGAGTTTAACACAGGACCTCTTTCAGTCCTGACCCAGTCAGTGAAAAACAATACTCAAGTTCTCATAAACTGTAGGAACAACAAAAAACTGTTAGGACGAGTAAAAGCTTTCGACAGACACTGTAATATGGTTCTGGAGAACGTGAAAGAGATGTGGACCGAATTACCACGTCCAGGAAAGGGTAAAAAGAAGGCGAAACCAGTGAATAAGGATAGGTTCATATCGAAGATGTTTCTCCGGGGCGATGCTGTTATAATGGTCGTCAGGAACCCGTTGGCTACTGCTAGTTAATTATAAGAAAATGATCCAAACATATTTATAGTTTAAGGAGCTAGTATTTAAGAAATCTGCATTGGATAAGATTTTTCATTAATAATTTGAAATAAAATAATGAATTAGTGTTCATTTTATTGTATTTTCTCCAATATTACACAAACATTTCCTTGATCATAATAGCTTGTTTCAATTCTAACATTAGATAATTTTTTACACATAGTCACAAGTTCATCTTCATCAAAAACATGATAATATCTAAGAAATGTACTTTTATTCTCATCCTTTAATTTCCATGGAACCAAAACATCCTGAGCTTTAAATTCCTTTCTATTTGTGTGTACTGGAAATGAAACACATCCATCAGGAAGTATAATTGTTTCAATATTAGATGGAGAATTATCAGAAATATCTATTTTCTTTCTATTTTTCCTATCTTGTTTCAAGTAACTTGACTTTTCCTCATTTTTTATTTGTTCATGAGCCCATACATAAATAAGAGCCTTACCACCAACCTTTAGTACTCTTACTATTTCTTTCAGAGCTTCTAATCTTCTCATCTCGTTAGCTAAATGATGAATAACAGCTATGCTAAGAGCAGCATCAGCAATATCATCTCTTAAAGGTATTTTTAGACAGTCAGCTACACATACCTCATATCCTCGGAACTTGCAAATACTAACTAATTGACTACTATAGTCACATCCTATGTCATAAATATCTTTATTACCTAAATATTTTCCATTGCCACATCCCACATCAATTACTATAGAACCCATATCAAGAGACTGGATAAATTTTAAAACATTAGGCCATGGTTTGTGTCTGGTATCACTGAAATGGTGTGCAATATTTTGATATATTTCATGTACATGCAGTTTTTCTAGCTTTGATGCTACACTATTTTCTAAAGCTTGCTTATTATTGCCTGAATCACATTTCTCCTTGTAATTACATTTGCATTCGCCATTCAAAATTTTCCTAAATGTAAAAGAAACCCGAGTGCCCCTTTTTAAAGAGGTATATCCAGTGACTGAATCATTTTTTATCACATCAAACTTCCTGGGAACAATTCCATGGCTCCACGCATACCTGCTTTCCTCTGACATTATCAACAGAGATCTTCTGGGTAATAAAACACAAACATGTTTATCCTGATTCTTAAATTCCATAACAACTGGTGAGCCTAAAGAAAGACATATTATGGGATCCTCAAAGGCACTATGTGTATCTATATGATGGGGTATGCCTTGGCCAGGAGAATAATGGTTTACTGTTAACTGGTCAGGATTAAAATCCTTAAATCCTGACTTAACATCAGAATCAGATAATCTTTTCCATAAGAAGTTGCACTCACAAGGTATAGTTTCATTTAATGGTTTAGTCTTATCTACATTATTTATATCGTACCTGAATTCATAACCAAAATGTTTTACTAGTCTATTTTTCATTATTCCAATTAGTTCAGTGTTAAAATTGCATAATTCTAGTAATGTAGACTCTTCATCAGATGTTATAAAATCATCACAGAGTATTAAACCAAGTGGTAGCTTATCCCACATATATAAACTGTTCACCTCTGGTAATACTTGAATATACAGTAAATACATAGGTTTATTGTCTTGACATATTTTCAGTTTACCATTAAATTCATTATAAGCATTTATAGCAGAGTCCACATTAGAAAATGAGACAAAACAATATGATTTGCCAGGAACCAATCTTATATCAATAACACTACCATGTTTTGAAAAATGTTCGTAAAGTATCTCTTGAGACAATCCATTTACAAGTCCAGCATTACAAATCACTAAATTCTGAGTAGCAGTTTGATTACAACTTGTGCCAGTATCCCGTTCAATCATAAATTGCAGCCTCTTGAGTTTTCTACTGACTTTTTTCTGTTTATTCATAGAAAATGTCTGGTTTTCCACCTCCATTTATACAAAATGGTAATATAATAAACTGTGATACTAACTTCCTAAAGTTAATTGGCGCACATCAAGATGTAATTATTCAATTTATTATCATAGAATTATTATTTATTGTTATTTCAAAGGTTATTTACAACAATTTTTTTTAAGAACCACTGACTGCCACTGATTAAAAACGTAAATAATAATAAGTTAACCGCGCTTGGCTAAATATTAAAAGGAAAGTCTGTGGTCCGATACAGAGTCCATTTTCGTACGTCATTTCATGATAGCGTTTCATGGTCACGTGAAGTTATATCATCCTACGTCATTAAATTCCATGCGCTTGTCAGCGAATTGATTCAAGTAATTTCGGGAAAGTATTTTTGTTCTTTCATTACAGATTAAAATTTCATTTCGCTTCCCACGGTCGAATTGAACGACGTTGACTAAACAACGTCTAATTTTTATTTGAAAATTTTTAGTTGTCGAATCCCGTGCGAAATATGAAAATTTGGACAAGTGAACACATATTCAAGTAATTATTAGAAAGTTTTTATGTTCTTGTGCAATATCCGTATTTTTTGTTGTAGTCATCCTTGGGAAACTGTAGCTACAGCAGCTTGGAGAAAATATCCAAATCCTCACAATCCTGCAGTTATAGGTACAGATGTAATAGAAAGAAAAGTCGTTGATGGAGTTCTACATACACAAAGACTAGTTAGTTCGGTGTGGTATTTCCCAAAATGGGCCCAAGCAGTAAGTAATTTTAATTTTATTTGTATTGTCAATTAACTCTTCAGTATAACGTCTTCTACATATACACCAACCCATTTGTTAAAAAAATCCATTCTAATCTTAATTTAATTTAGGTTAAGTAAAATATTTTTATCTGAAAACTTTGCTGCAAATTTTTTGTCTAGACGGATTTTGCCTCTTTTGAAGGTCAAAGATTATCTTTTTTTAATTTTGAGGTAGTTGAACTGCTTATGTAAGTCAGGCATCCTTAATAGAGAAACTAAGAAGATTTCTTATTTTGTAATTAACATCACACAAACTGAAATACAAAGTTTTAAGAATGACATTGCATACCTATTTAGATGCTCTTCTATCCTGTTAGAATATATTAATCAAAAAGTTACATAAGTTTAATAAATAAATAAATAAATAGATCCTTGTTTGATAAAGTTGTTTTGTCTTTAAATTTATAAACAAATAAATAGATTTTTAAATTGAGAAATTTTAAATAATATTTTTATATAATTTTTTTTAGTTAATTTGCTTTGAAACAGTCAATATAGGTACATATTTAATTTTTCGAATGATTTATATTTATCACTTAGCTTTGAATTTGTCCACTTCATAAAAAGTTATGACATACATTTAATAAATTCTAAATACTTATTTATGCAGATAAAATTGTTATTGCAAATATTGCATAAACAGTATTTAAAATTAATTAAGGAGGAGTAGAGTTTGCATAATTCTTTAATCATTTTAGTTAATCGGCTCAGCAAAGGTCTGTTACGCAGCCGAACACTCCGAAGTGAACCCACATAACAGACACATGATTTTAAAAACTATTAATTTAACTTTTTGTCGTCATATCGCAGTGAATGAGACACTAAAATATATACCACATCCTGCTGATCCCAGCAAAACACTACTGAAACAAGAAGCTACTGTAACAGTACAAGGTATGATTTTTTATTAATTACTTATAATTCTTTAAAACTTTAATGTACCTTTACTAGGTGTACCGTTAACTAATTATATGGAAGATATGTTAACAAAAAGAATCTCAAACAATGCTGGTAAAGGAAGACAAGCCATGGAATGGGTGATCAACAAAATCAATGAAGAAGTAAAGGATTTTACAGAAAGTGCAGATGAAATCCTACACCACACAAAGAAATCTTTGGATGATTTGACGTTTAGTGCAAAAAAGTCAATGGACGATATTTCACAGAAGGCAAAAAGAAGTTGGGAGGACATGCCCCACCTGAAGATTAACAGTAACTTTTCTGAATGTTAACTAAACACTCGAACTAGGCAATTGATTTATTGGAATGAAAGTATTACGTTATTTATTGAACAGACTATTTTGCATTGATACGCTCTGTTGGCATTTAAGAGTTTTGAACAATAAATGATACAGATTTTGATGAGTAAATGAGGTTGTTTAGTCGGTAGGACTAAGAGAAAATGTGCTGTTGATTATTTATTTACTTTTTTTACATTCCTCAGGTGGATATGTACATTGCTGTGTTGTTTTAATGAAGATGTCTTTGGTTTAACTGTACTAAAATTTAAAAGTTTGTATGTTTTAATGCAACAAAATAATTTTAAATTGAAATAAAGTATTAAATTAAATGAGTTAAAGATTTTATTTGTTTACCTTTCAAAAGTATCTCTTTTTGTTTGAATATTATAAATTAGTAAGTAGGAATTGGAACTTACTTGTCGGCTTATATTTCCCTTTATGGGAAAAAAGACAAATGTTAGAGGTTTAAATAATAGATTATTTTTTCTTAAACTATTGATAGGATACAAATCAATACTTTCTTGGTGCTTATTAAATTATTTTAGCTGTTAATTTTATATAAGTTGAAACGATCAATTTATCCCATAATTATACACTAATTCTAGAAACTAAGAAACGGGATTAGTTTTGATTTGTTGGATTTGATTTGGTAAAAAATGGAAAGTTGGGAACTTTTATTATTAATCTGAGGTATTTTTCCATATGGAAATAGAAACAAATGACCTACTCGTGACAATGTCAAGATTTCGTAGACAACATGACCCGTGACCGTAACCTAATTTAATTTTAATATTTTAATTTTCTTGGCACGTTAATATGTTGTTATTTAGAATTTAAGTGGTTTTTGTTTATTAATTCCAAAAAACATTAATTGATACATCTCCATTTTCAACGGTAGTTTAATTATATTCATTCATCTTTCTTCAAACCTACTAATAGATGGGTCCAAAGTCAATCCATAAAAAAATATTTTTTTTTAACTAGTAACAATTTGATAAATGTGTTTTTTTTACTTGGGGTCTGAGTAGATGAGATAAAATCGACGAAGTTTTGTTACTGTATCATAAAGGTTAAAGTGCAGAGTTAATTCATTTGATTTTATCGTCGGTTTTCGTTCCTAGTCAGAAAATATAAATTTTATTTATATCTCAACAGATAAAAGTTCCTGAAAATGAGTCGGTCGTGATATTGGTCACTGGCATTAGTGTACGTTTGTGAAAGTTAAAAAATGGGTGAAAACGAGAACCAAGTCGTACGCAAAAGGGCCTTAAGTGCTACCAAAGCTGATGAAATTCAAGCTGTCGAAAAAAAGGTTAGAAGCAGTCAGCCTGATAAGCCGTAAGTACTCGAATAACTCTAATATTTCTTGTAGCCCTTGTGCATTTGTTGTAATTAAAGATTTTATTTAGTGACCTTGTCTATGAAATCCTAATTTGTATTTTAGATGCCACAAACCCAGAGATTCACTTTTTTCCTGGAACTCCGGATTTGACAACTTTACTGGATTAGTCAATTGGGCTTTCCTTTTGTTGTCTATGGGTGGTTTGAGATTATTACTTGAAAACTTTATCAAGTAAGTAAAATCTTTACAATTTTAGATGTTTACATGCTGTATTACTATTTTTTTAGATACGGTATAAGGGTTGATCCATTTCAATGGATATCATTTGTAATCAATCCAGAAGACGGTTCAGAATATCCATCTTTATTATTATTGTTATGTAAGACTTTGTTATACTTTAATGTTTTTTGACATTTTAATTAATGATCCACTAATTTATACCGATAATGAATATCTTCCTGTTTTAGATCATATTGTACCTCTTTCAGTGTGCCTTATAATCGAAAAAGCCTTGTCAGCTGTAAGTGTTTGGTAACTACTTTTTCTAACATATATTTCAGACTTTCTTTTTTTAGGAAGTTGTTCCAAATGGTATTGGAATGCTAGTCCATGTAGTTAATTTACTTTCAGTAATATTATTGCCCATGGTTATTATACATGTTAAAGATGGATTCAGCCTAGGTTAGTTTTTATATACGTGATTTTTCTTGCTTGTTTTAATTGAGTTTTGGTGTAACTATTTTTTTTTATTTTTATTAGTGGGTGCTTCTACAGTTTGCACAGTTTATAGTGTACTATTTCTAAAACTGTGGTCCTATGTACAGGTTAATATGTGGTGCAGAAGTGCGAGGCAAAACAATAATAAAGGCTCATTGCGTAGACAGTCTGTATCTTTGAGCAGTCTTCAAAGGGCAAAAGAACAGAAAAAACAGAGTGTAAAAGGCTCTACCGAAGATCTTGGTGATGGTTTGGTCCATTATCCGGATAATCTAAGGCTGAAAGACTTGTATTATTTTATTTTCGCACCTACTTTATGCTACGAACTAAATTTTCCTAGAACTGAAAGAATAAGGAAAAGGTATACAGTGTTGATATAAAAATGTATTAAAATTATTTGAGATTTTTTTATCATAGGTTTTTATTAAGAAGAGCATTTGAAGTAATTGTGGGAACACAAATTATTCTTGCAGTCATACAACAATATATGATACCATCAGTCAAAAACTCCTTAGTGCCCTTCAGTAATATGGATTACACACTTGCTACAGAGAGGCTGTTGAAATTGGCTGTAAGTAAAGAACTATGTATTTTTATTATTAAATTAATTAACATATCTTTTTTTTTATTTTTATAGATTCCTAATCATCTCAGTTGGCTAATAATGTTCTATATTCTCTTCCATTCGTTCTTGAATTTGACAGGTGAAATTTTACAATTCTCAGACCGACATTTCTATGCTGATTGGTGGAACGCAAACAATATTGATATATTTTGGAGGACGTGGAATTTACCAGTTCACAGATGGGCTGTGAGGCATTTGTATCTTCCAATGGTGGACATGGGTTATGGTAGGTTAACTGCCAGTATGGTTGTCTTCTTTATTAGTGCCTTCTTCCATGAATATATGGTAAGTAGCTTTTTGATTTGAACAGGCATTGCAGGCAAAATTGAGTTTTTTTGTCACTTTAATCTGATTTTAAATATTTTTGTGAAATAATCTGAGTAAAAAAAAAGATCTTAAGCTTCTTATATACCTATGAATTTTGTCATTTTTTTTTGTTTATGTATAAAGCTTAAGCTATATGTCTAAGGAAGGATTTTTATTTGATTGAAATCCCAACAATTATAAAAAATATTTTATACATTTCTTTTAATAAAAAAAGTATGAAGTGTCTTTATTTTTTAATGCACAGATAAGAAAATTTTATAAAGCTTGTTTACGTCACTTATGTCACAAATATCTCTGTAATTAATTATTATTGTTTATTCTCAACTTTAACTGGATTTAAATAATTTGTCTATATCATTCATCATTTTGTCAAGAAAATTTGAACTTGAATAATTATTTTTTAAAAAATGTCTATACTTCTGTGGCGGATTCATCTCTTCAAAAAAATCCTATGGGTATTTCGCCACAGAAAGAAAATCTACAAAATAAAATAGTTATTTTTTTGTAAACATTGTTGCGTTAATCCAATGGAGATCAGCTTTTCAGCAGTGGTTTACTAATAAACAAATTTGCCTAACGGACAAAAAAATGAAGAAAAAACTATGTAAAATAATCTAAATACAACTATTCAAGAACACTTTATTTTTTTTTCAAAAGATACCGTTGGCGTTGTGTTAAAATGACATTATATCAAGTTAAACTTCAAAATTAACAATTACTATCAGATAACAATTACTTAATGGGGTAAAACAAAAAAACCTCAAACTTTCTGTATGATTATTATTTTATTTCTTTTTAATTTTTAACTATGTTTATTTATGTTATGATCATTAAAATCAAAAAACCGATAACCATACATTGCTAACCTCTACAGATGCCTGAGCAATACATCTATTTTTATTAGACTGTATTAAAAAAGCCTCTTTCCCATTTATTTATTTATTGTATGGCTACATTATACTTATACATGCAAGAAAACCAGACACTTAAACATAGACATAAAATAAACTACAATGTAAATGAAAACATTACAATGTAAATATAAAAAAAAACAAGTATATTATAAAAAGACAACATAAAAAACGTATTTACGAACACTATATATTAACATCTAGATGCCCTATCCATTCCAAAGCTGATGGAGAAGCCTCCAGAAAGTCCCTCCAGTCTTCACCATAAGCGCGTAGGTTGCACTCTCTAGTTATGTGATGGATGGTTTGGTGAGGGGATCCGCAATCACATTCTGGGGAAGGTATTTTTTCACATCTTCCATGGCCAGAGCGTATCCTATTCAAAGTTGACCATGTTTTCCGGTTTAGATCGGTACCCGGTGTCTGGCAATAATTATTTTTGAACCAGGAGTATAGGTGCGCATCGGCCATTTCTCTCCATAACTGAAGCCACTGTTCTCGAGAATTGTAGTTACTGCTTTTTAGTTGTTCAGCTGTTCGCAAAGTTGGATTCCTCGACTTAAGTCTATTCACCTGTAAAGCAGGAAGTGTTTCATGAACAGGTAGCGTTGGGGTAGCTATTTTAACAAATTCTCTAGAAGAGTCTCGTTTCTGCGTAGATTTGGAGGTAATGTTACTCAGAACTGGAAGCTAGTAACTAGGGGTGCATCTGATTGTCTCTGTAATCAGCCGCATGGTGTTGTTCAGCTGTCTGTCTACGAGATTTGTGTGGTGGCTGTTCAACCACACGGTTGCACAATACTCTGCCACACTGAATACCAGATCAAGGGCGGAGATCCGAAGTGTTGTTGCTTTTGCACCCCAAGAAGTACCACAAAGTTTTTGTATAATGTTGTTTCGTGTTCTGATTTTCCCAGCAACATTTTCTAGGTGTATTCGAAATGAGAGTGTACGGTCTAGAGTAATCCCCAGATATTTTGGATATTTGTTGTTACGCAGAGTGGTGTTACCAAACTGGACGCTTATTTCAGTATTCGCCAGCTTGTTATTAAGATGGAAGGTAGCCACTTCTGTCTTATTTGCAATGGGTTGAAGTCTCCATTTTATAAAATAGGCATTCAAGGATGCGAGATCCTTTGTAAGCGTTTCTTGGGTTTGATATAGCGATTCATGTTCCGTTGCTATGGCTATATCGTCTGCGTAACAAAATTTTGTAGATTGCGTATCTGGCAGGTCAGAGATGTATAAGTTGAATAAGAGAGGGGCGAGAACGGAGCCTTGGGGTAAGCCGTTGTTAAGTTTTTTAGGTTTACTTGTGCTCTCTCCCTGAAATACTTGGATATATCGGTTACTTAGCATGTTGTTGATAACTCGAGCTGTAGTTTGACAAGGAAGTGCTTTAAGTAATTTATAAACCATACCATCTCTCCAGACTGTGTCGTAAGCGGCTGTTAAATCGACAAAAGCTATGGAGGTTTTAAGCTTAAGTTGGAAATTTCCTTCAATGTGAGATGTAAGTGCTAGGACTTGGTCACAGCAACTGCGTTTAGGAGTGAAACCTGCCTGTTCAACTGGAATATAGTCTAAGATACTATCCTTTATTCTATTGAAAATAAGTCGTTCTAGGAGCTTATAGGTACAACTAAGAAGGGCTGTGGGTCGATAATTCTGAGGTTGTCTTTAGATTTTCCTGGTTTTAACACAGCTATTATTTTAGTTTTCTTTAATTCCTTTGGAATGTTGCCGGTTGATAAAACTCTAGAGAAGAAACTACAAAGCCACTTGAGGGCAGGGTTTCCAGCGTAAATAAGGAATGTTGTCATATCCAGGAGCTTTGTTCGGCTTGATGTCTTTAATAGCTGTGACTATGTCTTCAATTTCGAAGGGCTGTGAATATTCCGAGATATGGGGAGTGGTTGTTCTTAACTCCTTCATTTTCCTCTTAATCTCAATTATGTGCTCCTTATCACGTCGAGACCTAGATGTCTCAGCTATATAATTTGCAATTTGATTTGCTGATATTTGAGTGCTTGGCCTATTTTGTCTTGTTGAACCTTCTAAATTACGTAGAAGGGTCCAGGCCTTCCTACTAGATCGATGGAAGTCTCTGTTTTCCACTGTTTCAATCCAGCGGTCTCTTCTAGCAGTGTCTAGACTTATGTCCCATGAATGCTGACAAATCTTAGATTTGGGAAAAATATATTTTTTGTCTATTTTTTTTTGGATAAGACTTATACAATTATACACATAGAATATATAAAATACAATGAAATCTAGCAATATTAAGTATACCATATGATCGAAAAAAAGGGCGTCACAGCGGCCTTCGAAATGACAATCTATGATAATTTCTGTCTGTATCACGCCTAATAATACTTGTGAAAGATTTTCAAAAAGATTTCGTTTTTTTCTTTCAATTTAGTTTTTTTTTGAAAATAGATTTGTTTGATCTTCTAAATTAAACACTAATTTTTGACTTATTTTTATGTCAACTCTGAATAAATATCATATAGGGATTAACCCAGCAGAAGATTTAATGGATTTTTGTTTTATGGGTTACTGTGACGCCGTTTTTTTTTTAAATTATAGATTAATTATCTTTTACCCTATCCGTTTCTGTTAAGACAATGTTACAGTTAAACAAATACATATGACGTATTTAATAGCATACGATCGAGAGAAACAACGGCGTCAGAGACGGCTGGTGAAGGAAGATCGCTGGTAATTTTAGCGAGGTCAATCTCTAGACGTCATTTACTAAAAATTGACATGGAACTTGTCAAAAGTTAACAGTAATTGTAGAAAAATTGAAAAAGAATAGACCATTTCCAGACACACAAATCTACTGCCAAAAAAATATTTTTTTCTCGAATTTTAAACTACACCATTTCAGTTTTTTACTCAATATAAAAGTAAATTATATCCTCCTTAAGGTAAACTGGCAGTAAGCGCCATTAAAAAATAAAGAACTGTTTAGACTAAGTAAATGGTATATTTCGAACTGTGATTTTTATTGTTTCAAGTTTTAAATAGCCAAACCTTAGTGTAGCGGTATAATTTACCTTATTCTAGACATTCCAATACTGTTTGATTTCCAGGTTAGCGTACCATTAAAAACCTACAAAATATGGGCTTTCATGGGCATGATGGGTCAAATACCACTCTCGTTTCTCTCACGAGCTGTCGAAAAACGGTACGGCCCCAGATTTGGCAACATCGTCGTCTGGTCATCCATTATAATTGGACAGCCATTATGTATTATGATGTATTACCACGACTACATGGTAATACACCATGGTCCAGCCATAGCTGAATACGCTCAGGTGTAGGAACTGTTGCGCCATCTAGCCCAAAAATCGAGATCAAATAGTGTAGATTTTTTTCTATTTTTAAGTCCTGTATCACATTTTAAAGAGACCGGAGTAGTGATCATAGTGAACATACCAAAAAAGGTATGATTATTTTGTAATCTGTTTACGTTGCATTTGATGCATTTCTAAGGAGATTAAAAACTAAGTAGGTGTTTTTGTATTTTTTGTATCAAAATTTAATAAAACAGCGCAATAAAATAATTAGTACAATATGCAATACGGAAATCTACTTATAAGATGTATTTTTATAAAATATTGTTTGATTTTTTTATATTTTAATTTATATTTTCTTTATTATTATTTTTATCTAGGTGTTGTATGTTTTTTTATATTGATACATCACTTTTAGTTACCTGTTAATACCCAAAAATATAATATTGTATATTTTAGATAAGAATAGTTAGTTTTTTTTAAATAGCTTTATTTTGAATTAAAAATTTGTCTTCCCATTAGAAAAATGTACGCTCAAGTTAAATAGATTGATTCTGATGAAAGGTGCTATATTAAAAATTTCATAACTGTTTAAATCTTTGCATTTAAACATAAATTATACAATAACTTTTTATTCCATATATAGATTGTTGACAGTTTGTTGTTATTGCTATATCATTATTTATACGTTATGAAATAAATATTAAGACTGAATTAATATGTGTTTTGATTTTTGTAATTTTTACTTTAAGGGTTTCAATAAAAATTTAGCTAGGCGTGATATTGTTACTTGAATATTTTAATTACAGTTAATTTATGTGATTACTATTCTGCTGTCGATATTAGCTTTGTTCGGGTTCTTGTTATTACCGATTCTGAACCGTCCTAGAACTCGGCAGCGCATGCGCAAATGAAATAATGTCTTCATATTTCCTTCTGCGCATATGCATCACAGTTCTAGGACGGTTCAAAATCGGCAATAAGAGAAACCCGAAGTAAGCTATTGCTTGACTTTTTTCTTGATATATATATTTGAGTAACTTTTGGGAACTTGATGGAGACAATCTCATCAAAAACCTAAATCCTATGACACACAGTGCAATTTGAAGGACTTACGTTAATACATTTATACATTAAGTATATGCATGTATTAATATATAATATAACATATATAATAATATAATATTTTTATAATATAAATTTTATTTTGCATACATTAAGTATGCAAAATTTCTAATTTGAGACATTTTTTTTTCAACAAATGTGTTGTTTTTAAAAATAGTCAACTTTATTTTAGATAACTTACTGAATAGTGCACGGGTGTTTTTTAAGAATAGGTATTTTATTTAAATTTTCGTATTAAATTGATTATTACAAATTAAACTGCATAATTTTTTTATCATATTTTTATTCTATAAGAATTATAAGCTTACGATTTATCCAGTTTTTAACACCAACATTTATTCAATAACTATTCTAACTTCTAAAAATGCTTAAATATGCATAAACTTTTTTATATCTGTTATTGAGGTTAAAGGTTTCTTAAAAGAAATAATATAAAAAAAAATTCTGCCCGTTTGGAAAATATACAGGGTAGCCCATTAGTGCGAGGAAGTCCAATTTCGCTGTTGTTGACAAAGATAGGAAAAAAAGTTCCATAGATATGTTGTATAGTTTAAAATTGTACATATACTAAAATATTTTGTTGTATACAGGGTGTCCCCCTAAAAGATGTTATGATAAAGCTTTAAGTTTTTTTACATTGCACCCCAATTTTTTGGTACATAATTGGATATAGCATAAAATTTTGCATATACCTATTACCCCATCTTCATCTGATTCACGTAAAATATACTGGGTTTATACTAAATACAGGGTATGAGTAGATCTTGACAAAAGAAACTATATTTTCTCTTTAAATTTTGAGAACCACTGGATCTTTTCTGAATTTTTTTTGTTGTACAGCTGGTTCCAAAAAAAATGAATACGACTCTTTACACATTTTTTTCGAATATTTGGGCAGTGTATATTTATGTGTCAAGTATTTTGATATGTTAAGGTTATTCTGACATTGTATAAAACAACTTTGCTTTTGACAAAGTGGCAAATAAATTTTTCAGAACGTCAACATGACATGAGTAGCGAAATGAGGGAGTGGTATCATAGAATATACTGCCCGAAATAATAAAAATATGTTTTAAATCGTATTCAATTTTATTGGAACCAGCTGTACATTTAATAAAATATGTTGCCATATTATCAAAAAATGATGTTTTTTAATTAAAAACTAAAAAAATATCAAAAAAAAATTATAATCGTGTTTATGAGGTCGAAATATATACTACCCCTAAAAATATTTGCACTTATTGATCCATGTATAGGTTAATCCGAGGGGTGTCTCACTCGGGTAAAAAATGTACACGTACTGCCAAAATATCCTTCCACTGTTAAGCGACTGCCAATGACTATGAAGAAGACTGCCTATGACTGCCATGTAATTATTATAGGCGACTGCCATAAGACTGCCAATGACTGCCAGCGACTGCCAAGAAAATGTACAGGTAATTCCAATGGGCTTGTTCCACAATTTTTTTTTATTTTACCAATCGAAAGTACAACTAGAAAATAACAGATCTACCAAAAATTAGAATTTTATTCGTACGTTTAGTACCTCAAAAACACGTACAAACATCTATTGTGCGAGAAAGGGGCGTGGCCAGCTGCTACGTCATAGCACCACAGGTCGACTGGCGACCGCGCTCCATACAATGCACAGGTCTGCTTTGCCCGATTACAGAAAGTGTGTTTTAAATTTATAGTATAACGTAGTGTAGTACTAAAGTCTTTCTTTTATTCAATATTAGTGTAAACAAGACAAGGAAACGTTATGTAGTGCCAGAATGCACAAATACGAATAAAAATTCCCCAGAAAAACTATTTATTTCTTTACCGTCCGACATAAAGTTAAGACGAGCAAGACATGATTTTGTCCCTGACAGAGGCACCAGATTTTGTTGTGAAGATCACTTTAATGTAAGTTAATACTTACAAGTAGTGTTTCCTATTTTTTTTAATATAGGTTGAAGAAGACAAAAAACTACATATATGTACTTAAAAACTATGAAATCGGGAAAAATAAAATTAAAATCAGGTGTTATTCCTTACATTTTTGAGTGCCAAAAAAACGATCTTCTGCTTCAAATACTGTAAAGCCTCGAGGATTGGCGAAAAAAGAGAACAAGCAGCCATTATTAAGGAAATATTAAAAGACGCGAGGCAGGAGGCAAATGAAAACTTTCATTTCGGGGCCAATACAGTAGACTATCAAGACAATCTTAAAATGCATGATCAAGAGCAATCAAGAGGAGCGCATTTCAAACCATCAAATTTATGCAGCCACATAAGAAATGCTACTGCGTGCTTGCACGTTCGGATGCGGCACAGTCATTACACTTTGCTTCTATTACACTTTTTTCACTAGTACTGATAATAATGCTTTAATCGTTTCTTCTTTCTTAAACCTTTAGATAATATCCATTTTTTTTACGTTTTCTTGGGTAAAAAAACACAGTCATCACACTAATTTATACAGACTGGTGCTAGCAAGGCGACTTCAAGAATAAAGTGCCTGATAAAGCCCACTATGTTGGAGCGAAACGTCGCATAAAAAAAATCTTTCAATTTATTAAAAAAACCTCACCCCAGAAAAGGTAAAAAAAATATATGGATATAATAATGCATTGTACATTATAATTTTTTGCATTAATTTTGTGTTTCGGTGTAATTTTTGCCACTACTTGTCATAGTGATTGCTGTTGTTTTAACTGCACATATCATCCAATGGCATTATTACCATAATTTTGTCTGCCGGATCTGTAAGAAAAAAGTACATAGCTTACGTATCAGTTTTTAGCTTAAAGTAGAAATATTTTTCTATATATTTGTTGTATTACGTCTTTTCGCGGACCAACCTCGAACTAGTCCTAGTCAATCACATATCTTAAAATCAATTCAGTATTTGTCAGGTGTTGTATGTTTTTTTATATTTATACATCACTTTTAGTTACCTGTTAATACCCAAAAATATAATATTGTATATTTTAGATAAGAATAGTTAGTTTTTTTTTAAATAGCTTTATTTTGAATGAAAAATTTGTCTTCCCATTAGAAAAATGTATGCTCAAGTTAAATAGATTGATTCTGATGAAAGGTGCTATATTAAAAATTTTATAACTGTTTAAATCTTTGCATTTAAACATAAATTATACAATAATTTTTTATTCCATATATAGATTGTTGACAGTTTGTTGTTATTGCTATATCATTATTTATACGTTACGAAATAAATATTAAGACTGAATTAATATGTGTTTTGATTTTTATAATTTTTGCTTTAAGGGGTTCAATAAAAATCTAGCTAGGCGTGATATTCTTACTTGAATATTTTAATTACAGTTAATTTTGGTCGTTTTTTTAACACGTGTTTACACCCTACCTTCGAGAAAAGAAGGTTATCGGATTACTGTCGATATTGTTTGACTTTCTTCTTGACATATTTGACTTTTGCGAGCTTGATGGAGACAAACTCACCAAAACCTAAATCCTACGACGCACAGTGCAATTTGGTCGACATACATTAACTATGCAAAATTTCTAACTTGAGACATTTTTTTTCAACAAATCTGTCCTACAAACTTCAAATTTTAAAAAATAGTTATAACTTTATTTTAGATAACTTACTGAATAGTGCACGGGTGTTTTTTAAGAATAGGTATTTTATTTAAATTTTCGTATTAAATTGATTATTACAAATTAAACTGCATAATTTTATATTTCTCCTAAAATTTAATGAACTTTTTATCATATTTTTATTCTATATGAATTATAAGCTTACCATTTGTCCAGTTTTTAACACCAACATTTATTCAATAACTATTCTAACTTCTAAAAATGCTTAAATATGCATAAACTTTTTTTATATCTGTTATTGAGGTTAAAGGTTTCTTAAAAGAAATATAAAAAAAAATTCTGCCCGTTTGGAAAATATACAGGGTAGCCCATTAGTGCGAGGAAGTCCAATTTCGTTGTTGTTGACAAAGATATGAAAAAAAGTTCTATAGAGATGTTGTATAGTTTAAAATGGCACATATACTAAAATATTTTGTTGTATATAGGGTGTCCCCCTAAAAGATGTTATTATAAAGCTTTAAGTTTTTTTACATTGCACCCTAATTTTTCGGTACATAAATGGATATAGCATAAAATTTTGCATATATTACCCCATCTTTATCTGATTCACGTAAAATATACTGGGTTTATACTATATACCACGGTATGAGTAGATCTCGATAAAAGAAACCATATTTTCTCTTTAAATTTTGTAAACCACTGGATCTTTTCTGAATTTTCTTTGTTGTAAATTTAATCTACTACCTATGTTGTCATATTATCAAAAAATTATGTTTTTTAATTAAAAACAAAAAAAAATACCAAAAAATTCGTAAAAAAATATAATCGTGTTTATTAGGTCGAAATATACTACCCCTAAAAGTATTTGCACTTATTGGTTCATGTATAGGTTAATCCATTTAAATTAAACAACTTTATTGCCGTTTAATCATTATACTTAAAATAAATTTATAGACACTCTGTAGAAGTAGAGAAAAACGTAGAGACGTGGTAAATAGAAGAATTTCAGTACAAAATATTTGGTTTTAA